CGAAGGATGAGTCAGGATTTTTACAGTCCTGAAGGATGAGTCAGGAGTTACAGTCCTGAAGGATGAAATCAGGATGTTACAGTCCTGAAGGATGAGTCAGGATGTTACAGTCCTTAAGGATGGGGTCAGGATGTTACAGTCCTGAAGGAAAGAGTCAGGATGTTACAGTCTGAAGGATGAGTCAGGATGTTACAGTCCTGAAGGAAGAGTCAGGATGTTACAGTCCTGAAGGATGGTCAGATGTTACAGTCCTGAAAGGGTGAGTCAGGATGTTACAGTCCCGAAGCCTAAAAAAAAAGGAAAATTTAATTGAATATTGGTTTTTTTTAAAACATTTCCTGAAGGATAGTTCGGGTTTTACGGTTTCTGAAAAGGGATGGTTTTAGGGAAGTTAAGTCCAAGGATATTTTTAATTTTAATCCCGAAGGTGGTGGTGTTCGTTTGGGGTGAGTTGGGTTGTTTTGGTGTGTGGTGTTGTTGGTGTTGGTGGTGTTAGTTGGGTGGTGGTGTTAAGTTGGGTGGTGGTGTTTGGTTGGGTGGTGTGATGTTGTTGGGGGTGGTTTTTCGTTGGGTGGTGGTGTTGTTGGTGGTCGGATGTTGTTGGGTGGTGGGTTGTTGGGTGGTGGTGTGTTTGGGTGTTGGTGTTGTTGGTGGGGTGATGTTTCGGTGTGGTGTGGTTGTCTGGGTGTGTGTTGTTGTTGTGTGTGTGTTAGTTGGTGTGTGGTGTTATGTTGGTTGATGTGTTGGTGTGCTTTTTGTTGGTTTATGTTTCTGTTTGGGTGTGGTGTTGGGGTTGGTGGGTTGTGGTTTCCAAGGATGGTCAGTTACAGTCTAGGGATGGAGCTGTGTTTCCCGCCTTTAGGATGGTGCTGTTGTTTCCAACCTAGGATGGTAGATGGTTCAGGGCTAAGAGGTGGAGTTACGTCTTGAGAGGATGCAGAAAAGTTACAGTCCTTGAAAATTATCCCGGTGTTACATTCCAAAATGAGTTTCAGGAGGGTTACCAGTCTTGGAAGGATGAGTAGGGTGTTCCAGTCCCTTGAAGGATGGTATGATTTCAGTCCCTTGAAGGATGGTAGGATTGTTCCCGTCCTGAGCTTTAGGTCGTAGATTACCCGTCCTTGACCCCCGGATGGTAGGGTTTTCCAGTCTTGAAGGATGAGTAGGTTCAGTTTCAGTCCCAAGGATGGTAGATTTCGCTAAAATTTTGGGGTTTTTGGGGTCAGGGTTCCCCCCTGGAAGGGTTGGAATTCAGTCCTTGGGTGGTTTTTCGCTGAAGGATGGGCGTTTCCAGCCCAGGTCGGATTTCGTCTGGGGGGAAATCTTTTAGGCCGAGGGTATTTAATTTTTCCCCCCAAGGGGTGGTAGGGTTTTCAGTTTGGGAAAGGCTTTCAGTCCTAAAATGGTCTTTTCAGTCCGGGGGGGTTAATTTCCCCCCCAAGATGAAAGGGTTTTTACCCCTGAAGGAGGTGGAGTTAATCCTGAAGGTGAGTCGGAGTTCATCCGGGGGGAGTTCGCCTGAAATGGAAATTCAGCCTGGAAAAGAGTCAGGTGTTTCATCCTAAAGGGTGTCAAGAAATTGAAAGGATTGGGAAATTTCGTTTCCCGAAAAGCGGATTTTTTCCCGGGTGACTTTACGTTAAGGATGGTAGGTTTTAGCCAAAATTTTTTTCCAGCCTAAATAGCAGGATGAAGTAAAAAATGGTCGGTTAAATTTCCCAATTCAGGGTGACTTCCTGGGAATTTTAGGAGTTTTTTAAGGATGAGTCGGTGTTTCCCCCAAGGTTATCTTTACGCCCAAAGGATGAGAGGGGTTTAAATTGGGGGGTTTTTGGGGGGTTTTGAAAAATGAGTTGGGGTTTCAGTTGAAGGATGGGGTGTTAGCCCCCAAAAAATGAGCGGTTTTTCAGTCCTGGGGTGTTAGGGAACCCTTGAATGAGTCTGTTACGTTAAGGTTCCCCAAGTTCAGCCTGAAGGTGGGCAATTTAACCAAGGATATCGGGACCTAAAATGGCAGGATTTACCCCCTTAAAAAAGGTTTATCCCGAAAAAAGGCAGTTTAAGTCCCGAAGGGGCCCAGTTCACCTGAAAGGGTGACAATTTAAACCCCGGCCTTTAAAAAAATTTACATAAGGTGATTTTCCTCCAAAAATCCCAAAAAAAAAAATTTGGTGGGTTTTCGCTAAATTGGGAGGTTTTTAAGATAAAAAATTTTTAATTAATTTTTTGAGGGTTTGGGTTGTGGTGGTTTGGGTGTTTGGGTGGTTAAAAAATTTTTGGGTTGTGTTTTTTTTTTTTTTGGGTTTTGGGGGGTTTTTTTTGGGGGGTTTTTTCCCTTTTTTCGGGGGGGGGGGGGCCCCCTCTTTTTTTTATTATTTTAATTTTTTTCCCCCAAATTATTTGGGGTTTTGTTTTTTTTTGGTTTGTGTGGGGGTTTTTTGGGGGTTTTTTGTGGGGTTTGTTTTGTTTTTTGTTTTGGTTTTTTTTTGGGTTTTTTTTTTGTTTTTTTTGGGGGGTTTTTGTTGTTTTTGTTTTTTTTTTAGTTGGGTTTGGGGGTGTTTTTTTTTAAATTCCCCGGGGGTTCTTTATTTGGGTTTTTTTTTTTTAAACCTGTTAAATTTTAAAAAAAGTTCCCAAAACAAAAAAAAACCCTTTGGGGTTAAAATTTTAAAAATTTATCAATTTTAAATTTTCCCCCACCTTTTTTTGTAAACGAAAACCCCGGTTTTAAATTTTCCCAAAAATTTTTTTTAGGTTTTCTTTTTTTGCCCCTTTGTCGGGCCCCCCCCTTAATTTCATTGGGATAAAAAGGAAATTCCCCCCCCCCCCCTCTAGTTTGCTGGTTTTCCAAAAGGGCCCATTTTCCCCCAAAATCCTAAGAAATTTTTTCCCTAAGGGGTTTCCAAATTTCCAAAAGGGGCCGGATCCCTCGATTTTTTTCCCCCAATTTTACAAATTTATTTTTGATTTCCCCGTATTTCCCTGTTATTTATAAAATCTTTTTTTAAGGGGTTTTTTTCCCCTTTAAATGGGTTTAAATGTCCGGGGGTTTTCTTAAAAAAACCCCCCCCTTTTTTTTTTTGGGGAAAAAAAAAAGGTTTTTGGGGCCCCCTTTTTTTTTGTAATTTTTTTTTTTTAAAAATTTTCCTGGGTTTTTCCAAATTTTATGAAATTTTTTATTAAAAGGGGTTTTTCCCAAAAGAATTTTTTTTTTTTCCTAAATTTTTTTTTAAAATGAGGGTTTTTGGGGAAAAAGGGGCCCCCCCCGGGGGTGGGCCCCCTTGGGGGGTTTTTTTTAAAACCTTTTTCCCCCGGTTTTCACTTGAATTTGTTTTTCCCCCTTTTTCTGGTTTTGGGAAAAATTTTTGTCCCGTTTAACCCCTTTTTTTTTTCCAAAATTTTTTAAACCCCCCCTTTTTTTTCCTTTTTCCGGGTTAACCCTGTATTTCTAGTGGTTACCGGTTTCCTCGTGGGTTTGTGTATTAATTTTTTTTTTTCCCAAAATTTTTTCCTCGTTTTTTATTTCCCGGGTTTTTTTAATTTCTTTAATTTGAGGTTTTGTTTTTTGTTTTAAAAAAGGGAAAGGGGTTTAAATTCTTTTTCCTGGGGGAAAAATTCCCTGTTTATTTATTTTAAATTTTTTTTAAAATTCCGGTTTCCCGGGGGGTTTTTTTTTAAAACCCCGGGGGGTTTTTGGTTTTTTTTAGGGTTTCTCATTTCCCCCCCGGGTTTTTTTTTGGGGGTTTGGTTAAATATTTTCCCGGGCCCCTTTTTTTTTTTCGTAACAAATTTAAACTTTTTTCTTTTTCCCCTTTTTGGGTTTTTTCCCCCTAATTTTTCTGTTTAATTTTTTTTTTTTTTTTCCGTGGTTTAAAAAATTTTTGTGGGTTTTTGGGTGTGTGTGTGTGGTGTGTGTGGTGTGTGTGTGGTGTTTTGTTGGTGGTGTGTGTGTGTGTTGTGGTTTTTGGGTTTTGTGTGTGTGTGTGTGTGTTGTGTGTGTGTGTGTGTGTGTGGGTGTGTGTGTGTGTGTGTGTGTGTGTGTGTGTGGGGTTTTGTGTGTGTGTTGTGTTTTGTGTGTGTTGGTGGTGTGTGATGTGTGTGTGTGGTGGTTTGTGTTGTGTTGTGTGTGTTTTTGGTTAGTTTGGTTTTGGGTTTGGGTGTTTTGTTTGCCAGTTTGGGATGGTGTTTGGTTTTTTTGGGGTTTTGGGTTTTAAAACTTTTTCAGCTTCCCACCCTTCTCCGGGATGCGTAATTGTTCCAGTTTCCCACCCTTTCCAGGATGGTAGATTTGTTCCAGCTTCCAGCCTTCTCCGGGATGCGTGACTTGTTCAGTCTTCGCCAGCCTTCTCCAGGATGCGTAGATTGTTCCCGTCTTCGCCAGCCTTCTCCAGGATGCGTAGACTTGTTCCAGTCTTCGCCACCTTCTCCAGGATGCGTAGATTTGTTCCAGTCTTCGCCAGCCTTCTCCCAGGATGCGTAGACTTGTTCCAGTCTTCGCCACCCTTCTCCAGGATGCGTAGACTTTTTCCCAGGTCTTCGCCAGCCTTCTCCAGGTTTCCCGTAGACTTGTTCCAGTCTTCGCCAGCCTTCTCCAGGATGCGTAGACTTGTTCCAGTCTTCGCCAGCCTTCTCCAGGTTTGCGTAGACTTGTTCCAGTCTTCGCCAGTTTTTCCTCCAGGATGCGTAGACTTTTCCCAAAGTCTTCGCCAGCCTTCTCCAGGATGCGTTAGACTTGTTCCAGTCTTCCCCAGCCTTCTCCAGGATGCGTAGACTTGTTTCCAGTCTTCGCCAGTTTCTCCAGGATGCGTAGACTTGTTCCAGTCTTCGCCTGCCTTCTCCAGGATGCGTAGACTTGTTCCAGTCTTCGCCAGCCTTCTCCAGGATGCGTAGACTTGTTCCAGTCTTCGCCAGTCTTCTCCAGGATGCTTTAGACTTTGTTCCAGTTCTTCGCCAGCCTTCTCCAGGATGCGTGACTTGTTCCAGTCTTCGCCAGTCCTTCTCCAGGATGCGTAGACTTGTTCCAGTCTTCGCCAGTCTTCTCCAGGATGCGTAGACTTGTTCCAGTCTTCGCCAGCCTTCTCCAGGATGCGTAGACTTGTTCCAGTCTTCGCCATCCTTCTCCAGGATGTATATTAAGGTTGCATCCATCCTTAGCAACGGCACGTAGGCATCAGCTGTAATCCTGCAAGTTGACGTACAGCAAGCAGGCCTCATCCTTCGTTCTACCGACGGCTGCAGGTTCGTGCACCTGCAAACCATCCTGCAGCATGGCTTGTAGGATGCTGCGAGGCTGGTACTCATCCTCTAGGATGGCCTCAAGAAATATCTGAGCATCACGGGAGATGTAGATGCTGCCTCCTCCTTGACAATCGAAGCCTGTGAAGTCACACCCGGCTGACATCTTGACGTAAACAGGATGGTTATGGTACTCCATCCTGCCAGCGAACTCAAATTCCCTCCCAGACACTCCATCATCAGCATGATGAACGTAATAGAGGCGATCCACGGCCTCTAAATCGATCTCAAATCCCTCCAGTTCGCGATCCGTCCAATGGGACCTCTCCCAGGGTGACGTACTCTTGGTAAACATGTACTGGTAGATCAGAGCTGTGCCAATCAGATCCTCTATATCTTGAGGGCTGAAAGGACTTCAGGAAAGGAGCTTTTGAAAGTTTAGTGAGTACTAACCATACCAACGTTAGTTAGCTTGGAGCTTGGAGCTTGGAGCTTCCAGGGCAGAGGATGCAAAGGGTCTGTACAGGACGTGCGATGCTTCGAGCGTATATATACAGAGGGAGTTCCTTGGGGAATGCTTACGTCATGAGATCCCTGCCAATTGTATTGTCTTCCTGTGACGCAGTAACTGGCTCCACCAATCAGCGTGCAGGCATGAAGGACGTCACTCTCTTTAACCACGAATCAACTTCCGGGAAAACTTACACACACACACTGGCCCAGAAAGTTACCCACAACAGTCAACTAACACCCAGGTACCTATTTACTGCTAGGTGAACAGTGACAGTAGGTGTAAAGTGACTTGCCCATACGTCTCACCCTGCCCAGGATGCCACCCCAACACTCAAACTAACACCCAGGTACCTATTTACTGCTAGGTGAACAGTGGCAGCAGGTGTAAGGTGACTTGCCCATACGTCTCACCCTGCCCAGGATGCCACCCACAACACTCAACTAACACCCAGGTACCTATTTACTGCTAGGTGAACAGTTGGGCAGCAATGTAAGGTGACTTGCCCATACGTCTCACCCTGCCCAGGATGCCACCCACAACACTCAACTAACACCCAGGTACCTATTTACTGCTAGGTGAACAGTGACAGCAGGTGTAAGGTGACTTGCCCATACGTCTCACCCTGCCCAGGATGCCACCCACAACACTTAACTAACACCCAGGTACCTATTTACTGCTAGGTGAACAGTGGCAGCAGGTGTAAGGTGACTTGCCCATAAGTCTCACAAGCATGGTAATCGAACCCACGTCCTTTGGGTTGTCACGTCAGCATTCTATTATTCAGCTAAGGATATATGCACGACTTGAGTTCCGGGTTAATGAAGCGGAGAGAGTACTTCCCAGACACTGTCCTTGTGTGTGTACTCACCTATTTGTACTCACCTATTTGTGGTTGCAGGGGTCGAGTCCTAGCTCCTGGCCCCGCTTCTTCACTGGTTGCTACTGGGTCCTCTCTCTCCCTGCTCCATGAGCTTTATCATACCTCGTCTTAAAACTATGTATGGTTCCTGTCTCCACTACATCACTTTCGAGGCTGTTCCACTGTCTGACAACTGGTTTTGTTTTGTGTGTGTGTTGTGTGGGGTGTGTGTGTGTGTGTGTGTGTGTGTGTGTGTGTGGGGGTGTGTGTGTGTGTGTGTGTGTGTGTGTGTGTGTGTTGTGTGTGTGTATGTGTGTGTGTGTGTGTGTGTGGTTGTGTGTGTGTGTGTGGGGTTGTGTGTTTTGTGTGTGTGTGTTTTGTGTGTGTGTGTTGTGTGTGTGTGTGTGTGTGTGTGTGTGTGTGTGTGTGTGTGTGTGTGTGTGTGTTTGGTGTGTTAACGTGGTTAAACTTATATCGGTTTATCACTGGGTTTCATTAACCCCGATAAAACACTGTTATACCCAGATACAACACTGTTATACCAAGGCATAACACTGCTATACCAAGGTATAACACCGTTATACCAAGATATAACACCGTTATACCAAGGTATAACACCGTTATACCAAGGTATAACACCGTTATACCAAGGTATAACACCGTTATACCAAACCCAGGAAGATTTAAATATTTCTCATTTACACGGAAAAAAAATAACGACAAAACGTTACCAAAACATTAAACGTAATTTTAGGCCATTTACGTTAAAGTCAAGAAAAAGAAGACGGAGGAAACGAGTAAATAACTAAGGACGGAAGTATGATAATAGACGAGAGGATGTTACGTACAGAATGACAGATAAAACGTTAAGTCTTCGAGTCCGTGGAACCAGTATGGAACCCGTCTGCTATCAGGAGGCATGTCGCCTGTATATACACTGAGAGGTGTATATCTCAGTGTATATACACTGAGAGGTGTATATCTCAGTGTATATACACTGAGAGGTGTATATCTCAGTGTATATACACTCAGAGGTGTATATCTCAGTGTATATTCACTGATAGGTGTTTAATCTCAGTGTATATACACTCAGAGGTGTATATCTCAGTGTATATACACTGAGAGGTGTATATCTCAGTGTTATACACTGAGAGGTGTTATATCTCAGGTTATATACACTGAGAGGTGTATATCTCAGTGTATATACACTGGAGAGGTGTATATCTCAGTGTATATACACTCAGAGGTGTAATCTCAGTGTATAACTGAGAGGTATTATCCTCAGTGTATATAACTGAGAGGTGTATATCTCAGTTGTATATACACGAAGATTGTATATCTCAGTTGTTATAAACTGAAGGTGTAATACTAAATGTATATACACTAAAAGGTGTTTATCTCAAATTTAATTTACATAAAAGGAGGTGGTTTTTTTTCGTTTATTAATTTCACTCAGTGGTGTATATTTGTTGTTATAAAAATCAGAGGTTTTAAAAACAATTTAAATTTATATACACTCAAAAAGGGGGTATTTTTCAGGGTTTTTATAAAATCTGAAGGGGGGTGTAATCTCGTGTATTATCACTCAGAGGTGTTTATCTCAGTGTTAAAACAATAGATGGTATTTTCGTGGATAACACTAGAGGGGTATAAAACTGTGTATTTTTAACCTGAGGGGGTATTTTCTCAGTGGTTAAAAATTTTCCTGGGGGTTTTTTTATATCCGTTTTATATACACCAGGGGGTGTATATCTTCCCCTTGTTATACATCAGAGGGTTGTTTACTCAGTGGGATATTTTTCAATCCGAGGTGTAATCTCGTGGCCCCCCCCCAGGGATATACACTAGAGGTGTTAATTCTCAGTGTTTAATCACTAAGGTGTATATCTCAGTGTTAAAAATACACTAGAGGTGTTTTTACGTTTATATTTTAAATCAGGGGTGTATTTTCTCAGTTTTTTATAAAACCCTGGGGCGGTGTTTTAAATTTGTTTATATACAATTGTGGGTTATTTATCTGTTTTTATACACTTAGGGTTTTAATATTCAGTGTATTTTAAAAATAGGGTTATATCTCAGTTTTATATTACGAGGGGTTTTTTTTTAATTTTTCGGATATATAACCCCTTAAAAGGGGTAAAATCTTTTAAATGTATATACATAGGGGTTTTTTTTATTCCCCAGTGTTATAAATGAGGGTTTTATATCTCAGGGGTTTTAATTAAAACTCAAGGTTTTATATCCCCAATTTGTTATAAAAAAACATCCCAAACCCCGTGGGTTTTTTTATCTCAGTGTATTTTACCTGGGGGGTATATTCGTGTATTACACTAGAGGTGTATATCTAAGTGTTTATACATTAGGGTTTTTATAAAATTTAGTTTTTTTACCTGAAAGGTTTATATCTCAAATGTTTATACACTGAGAGGTTTTTTATCTCAGGTATATTTAAAATAGAGGTTTATTTTTCAGTGTAATTTTACACTGGAGGTTTTATATCTCAGTGTATATACACTGAGGGTTATATCTTGTGTATTTACCCTGGGGTGGTGTATAATTTAGTGATTATACAATTTTAGAGGATAATATTCCGTGTATTTTTACACTGAGAGGGGGTTTAAACTCAGTGTATATTACCTTTGGGGGTGTATATCTAAGGGGTTTATAAACCCGAGGGTTTTTTTATCTTGTTTTTTACATGAGGGGTTTTTATATCTAAATGTTTTTATACACTTGGGGGGGGGTGTTTTTTAACCCCAGTGTTTTATACAAGGAGAGGTGTATATTTAAATGTTTTTATTAAAAGGAAAAGGTTTTTTTTTCAGTGTATATAACTTGAGGGTTGTATTTCTCGGTATTTACAATGGAGGTTTTATAAACCAGTGTTTAACCTGAGGGTGTTACCCCAGTGTAAAATAAAATTTAGAAAGGTGTATATCTAGTTGGGGGTTTTTTATACACTGAGAGGTTTTTATATCTTTAGTGGTTTTATACACTGAGAGGTTTATTCAAATTGGGATTTAATTGAGGAAGGGTATTTCTCAGTGTAAAATTTCCCCTGAGAGGTGTATATTCAGGGTTTTTACACTGAGAGGTGTATATTTAGGGATTTTAAAATGGGGAGGTTTTTTTTCCAGTTTTTTATATCCTGAGGGGGTGTATATTTAGGTATATAACCAATTTAGGGTGGTTTATCTAAGGGGGTATTTAACTGAGGGGGTTTTATATTAAGTTTAAAATTTTCACTGAGGGGGTTTTTTATTAAGTGTATATACTCTGAAAAGGGGGTTTACCTGTGTAATACACTGGAAAAGGGGTTTTTAAAAGTGTTTTTAACTTTAGGGTGTATTTCTCAGTTTTATTAAACTGGGGGGGTGTATAATTTTTTTTTATATAAATTTTTTAAGAGGGGGTATATCCTGTTTTTACCTTTAGGGGGTTTTTTAATCTAAATGTTTATACACTGAGAGGGTTTTTATATCTAAGGGGTTAAAATTTCACTGGAGGTGTATATTTAAGTGTATTTTACACTGAGAGGGGTATTATCTAAAGGGGTTTTATTACTGAGAGGTGTATTTCTCGGATTTTACATGGGGAGGGGGGGTTTTTTCCAAATGTTTATACACTTTTGGGGTGTTATCTCAGTTATTTTTCATGGAAGGGGTAATTTTTCGGGAAATACAATGAGAAGGTTTTTTAAACTACCTTTTGAATGAAAGGTGGATATCTAAGTGTTTATACACTGAGGGGTATTTCTCAGGTATATATACTGAGAGGTGTATACTCAGAGTATATACACTGAGAGGTGTATATCTCAGTTATATACACTGAGAGGTGTATATCTCAGTGTATATACACTGAGAGGTGTAGTCTTAGTGTATATACACTGAGAGGTGTATATCTCAGTGTATATACACTGAGAGGTGTATATCTCAGTGTATAAAACACTGAGAGGTGTATGTCTCAGTGTATATACACTGAGAGGTGTATATCTCAGTGTATATACACTGAGAGTTATATACACTGAGAGGTGGGATATCTCAGTGTATATACACTGAGAAAGGGGTATATCTCAGTGTAAAATACACTGAGAGTGTATATCTCAGTGTATATACACTGAGACTGTAAAATCTCAGTGTATATACACTGAGAAGTGTATATCTCAGTGTATAATACACTGAGAGGTGCATATCTCAGTGTATATACACTGGTAG